GAGGGAAGCATCTTCACTTCTTAAGTAGTTTAAAACATAAATACAGAAACTGCCCTCTTAGTCCTGATATATAAATTACACCATTTCAAAGCAAAAATACTAACATTTTGCAATTTTTTGGATCCTTCTATTTGTCTGATTTTCCATTTTTATAGAGAAAGTTATAAATTGCTTTCTCAAGTGAACAGTTACATGTGATTTCTAAAAGAAATTACGAGTATGATTGCTAGTTCTACTGATCATTATGTGCATTTTCATATTATTCAAATGCGCAGCTAAGTTAATTCAATTGGCCTACACCAGAGAGTAAATTTAGATGTGTTTGTGCTTCTACGTATGAGCACTTAAGCAATGGAAGGTCTTAATTTTAAAATAACGAGCATGCACACTAGAGGATGGGTTAGGTAAGGTTTTTTCTATAAAATAAATGATATATTGAAATGAATGATAAAATGAATGATATATTCAATTTGGCAAAGAGTACGCTTTCCTCCAAGGCATAACCTGTTTTATGCGTCAATATAGGTCTTTCTCACATGCCAAGAATAGAAAAAGGATTGAAGTTACTCAGTAATAATCATTCTTTTGATAACAGTGAACTGATTATTATAGTCATGATTAAAATACTTTTCTGTACATTTTTACAAGACATTTATAGGGGAGAACAAAATCATCCCTTGCATCCATCGATAAAAAAAACAAAGACAGAAATTATTTTAACTTTTCAAACTATAGTTTCTTTCTAATGTTGAGAATAAATGCTCTTTTTAATGAGAAAATGGATTTTAAACCTTGAATAGTTTTCCCTTTACCCAATAGATGCTGGATCTCTTATGAATATGTGAGTATAGCTCCTAGTATCTATGTTCTGAACAAGAATAATGTAAGTGAAATTAAATGCTTCTTTTTGGAGGTCTCTTTTTACAGGAAAAGAACTTGGCTTAATTATTTATCACATTTGACAGTGTTAAAAAATTTATAATTGCCTAATTTATGTATAAATAGTTCCAAAAGGACAACTTTTAATTTCTAGCTTTCAAATCTACACATCATCACTCATTTCCAAATATCTACCATCTGTGGTTTATATTGACTCACTGTAGTGAGATTTCATAGATTAAGAAGCTAGCCCTTCAATGAGACACTCAACAAAAATGCATGCATTCAAGTCCACTAAAGTTAGTAAGACTTAAGATAAACATAGCCAGAGTCCTCTGGCAAGTAATAATAGCAAAGTGGCAAACTGGAAGAAATTACTTTAATTTAAATTACCTTCTGAAATGGAGCCCTAGTGGGTGGTGACCAGGGACAGTGGCTCTTTTTTAAATATTACTTTTTCCAATTTGAAATTCCTTTTGCCTGCTTTTCAAATTCACGAAACAACTGCAGCTTCAGCTGACACACTGGGATTTGAGGGTGACCTTCTTTGCTGGAATTCGCATCATCCGTAACAATCAATGTATTACTTTCCACTACACAGTCTCTCTTCCAGTATCCAGATTTGTATGTGACAGATACCACCTCAAAAGACAGAAATAAATGAAGTATCTCA